CACAGTTACTTTTTCTGATATTTTTTAATGGAAATGATTTAGAAGAAGAATCTGCAAACACCATGCTGGCATTAGATTCCCTGTACACAATAAAGCTATTGAGAGCTTATCTTATTTGCTACATATCAACATACTGTAGTTTCCCCTGGATTTATCTTCTTTAAAGTAATGCTGAAACTAAAACATTTACTAAATTAAGCCTTTTATTTCTTTTTCCTAGAATTGCATGTCTAATGCAAAAAAAAAAAAAACCAAAACCCCCAAACCCGGCAGCTGTTCAGAATTTTATCCAGTTACAAGATTACTTGCAGTTGTTTTTTCATATTTGCATAAACAAACTTGAGGTTCGATATCCAACATTAACAATCAGTTTGTTTTAGGTTTTATAAAGATTCTCGCTGTCAATGGGAGAAGATTTTTTCCTCATTCTCCCCAAGAAACATTTCAGAAGATCAACATTTTTTTTGCTATAGTGGAGGCAAAGTATTTCTGAAGCCTTTGTACTGACTCCCAAGAGCAGAGCTAAAAAATCATCTAAAATCAGTTTTTGTGAAATAAGATAGCTTTCTTTTCCAGTTCCAGGGATTTGTTTGAATTTTACAACCACAGGAAAGAAAGAGTTTGGTGTTTATTTATTCTGCATAACAAGTGTGCTTGAATAGTTCTTCAATCTTGTACAGCCTTGTTCTGCACTGGATGAATTTTCCATGTATTTTTTTTTCCACAATAGCAATTGCACTTAGACTTATATGCTTCTTCATAGTGCTCTACAGCCCTCTCTAAGCAATTTAAGAATCAGCATATTGTCCTCAACAAACTAGGTTCTCATCAACCTCAGAAGGATGGAAGGCTGAGTCAGTGTTGAGCTGGTCAGGATCGAACGGCTGACAGTGAACAGAATTCGCCTGCACTACTACATTCTAACCATTTCCCCCCGATGGCTCTAAAAGTTAGCTCCATGAGGAAAACTTCATTTTTTGGAACAATTATTGAACCTGTGAGAAACTAAGGTAAACTCCACTTAGAGTTGTAGTGCTGCAACTACCGGTAACATATCAGTATAAACTATTTTATAACCGTTCTTGATCACTGCAACTGAGCTTCACCTATTAGTGCAGAGTTCAAAAAAACTTTAGTTGTACTTTAGTTCTTTCATATCCAGCTGTAAAAGTTTTTCTACTCCTGTTGCTTGTTTGTTTTTTTAAACTAGATTTGAGCATATTCATTCTCGATTATCTCCCCAAAACCTCCAAGTTCCTTGTCCTATTTGGGAGAAGTAGAGTTAGCATATTCTGTGTACTGGTAAACATTTACTCCAAATACCTGAATGGCATTCCCTGCAATTACTCTTCGGTAAAGAGTTGTGTTGTACTTTGCTTTGATGAAGCTTCAAGCCAAACTATCCCTTGAAATTGAAAGCAATATGGCTTCCTATTTATAGATTGATTTGATCTGAAAGCTGCCCAAATATTCAAACTAGTACGATATGTATCAAATATTATCAGAAAATATTTTTGCCCTGAATGTCTATAGATTTTTTATTTGCAAAGATTTTGAACAAGAAAGATACTGGAATCTTGTGATAGTTTTATTAAAGTGCTAGCAATCAATGTTAACTTTCTCCATTTGTCTTCTCATTCCTACCCCAGTCTTCCTCAATCAGGTGCCTTCTGGATATAGATTTTCACTTCCATGGTGTCCAGTCAACACTACATGGGAGCTGAATGCTCCACCAGACATCACCAGAATGGGAAGAATATTTTAAGCAATACATCTCAGCATGAAGTATAATTGATGATAGTGTGCAAATAAACATCTAATTCTCTTTAGTCTAAATACCATTCCAGTTGTGCCAGGACTACAGTGAGATCTTGTGTCTATTATATAATAGGAAGTGATGGGTACATGCAATGGCACAAGTCTTTGCAGTTTATAAAATATTGGGATTCAGAACATTTTTCAAAATATGAAATTCAGTTTCTTTAAAAAGAACATTCACCAAGCGCAGTTCATGTCTATTGAAATCGCTGTAAACAACTCACTGTTTTAACATAAGTCCATTCATTGAAAGAATCCTATAAATAGGAGTCTTGTTCTGGCCTTCAAAATGCTTGGAATGTGCCCGTCACGTAATATGTGTGCCCATTTCAATGGGAACACATGTCTCATCAACTCTGTCTTAGCACCCACCAAAGAAAAAGCTCCTCAGGGAAACTTAACATGGTTGCTTGTGTAATACAAGCAAGCTTTGCTGTTTTATAAAGAGCTATCCTTTTCTTGATAAAACATTCGTATAAAGCAGCTGTAAAGTTAAACGAGTGAATTAATCTTCTTGATAAAAATGAACTTATGATCAAACAGAGAGATCAATCATTTGGCAGAAGCCAGACAACAATCTGTGTGATTAAAACCAGCTGGCGAAGTTTTGGAAGAAGTGACATTTTAACTATGGACTCTATTCAGTATTGCACTTCATATCATACATATGCTTCAGTATGACTTCAACATGGGAATTACTAATTTTTAACATAGTGTGTGGGTGTGTGTATAGTTTTCAGAGAACATGTAAAGTTGAGTTTCTTTCTTTCCTTCCCCTCTCCACCCTGTTTAGAGCAGGTGGGAAGCCTCACAGTAGACAGCTAGTGTTTCCTTGTGGGCTGCTGTAATAAAGGACCTTTGTAAATGTCTCTTTATATGACCTGAATACAAGCTCAACAGAATGCATATTAACTATTCCCAAGAACTGTTTCATTTATTTCAAGATCTTACCTGAATTGGCCTTGCTGTTCTCTAGCAGGATTTATACACTTTTGGGTGTTGTTGTTGTTGTTATTATTATTTATACACAAAAATGACACTATACACAGCAAATGAGATAACCATGCTGGGTTTCATATCACAAATCACTAGTCAAACACTTCCCAAGTGTTTAGGACTGCATGATGTATCGGCGGATTATGCGAGCAGATCCCAGTAAGGTGGCCTTCTGCAGCTGACCAATGGTAATCTTGTCAGCACCAATGGTTTTTAAGTGCTTGCCTAGGTCTTTAGGCACAGCCCCCAGTGTGCCAATTACCACTGGAACCACCTGCACTGGTTTATGTCAGAGTCTCTGTAAAGTCTCTTAAATCCTGATACCTCGTGATTTTTTTTCAAGTTGTTTCTCATTGATTCTGCTGTCACCAGGTATGGCAATGTTGATGATCCCCACTTTTTTCTTCACAATCATGATATTCGGGGTATTTTGTTCCAAAACTTTGTCTGTTGTTGTTGTTGTTGTTATTATTATTATTATTATTATTATTTATTTTATTCATTAAACATGAAACCCAGTCAACTGAATATTCAAAAATGCATCACAAATACTATTGACTGGTGCTAATGGTTGATACGGGTTGCTGCCAGCGTCCTAGGTATCAACTTGTTGTTATTGTTATTGCGTATGGCACATGTTAGCCAGAGATCACCAAGGTTCCTCTGGGAAAGGAATTTTTTTGGGCGGTGCTATCTTTACAGGTGGTGTTATGCTGGTAGGCAATTGGGGGAGGTTCCTTTCTTGTCCCTGTATGGTTTATTTGCTCATGAGAATCGAGCCACCAACCTCAGCGAGTGCAGGCCCAGCATCTTACCACATGAGTCACTGCATTTTCAGAAATATACAGCAGTTATGGACTTGGATATCTAAAGGGGCAACTTCTCCATTATTTACTTATGCCATTACAGGAGGGAAGATCTAAGGAAGAGGGTGCCCATTTGTCAGTGATTCACTAGGACAGGGTGAAACTCGCGGCGTCACAGGGTGTCATGTGACATTGTGACTTTTTCCCCCTTCGCTAAACCAGGCGTGAGCATCGCCAGGGCGTGACACATCTGGCACACGGGCTGTGAGTTTGACAGCCTTGCACAAGAGAGAAAGCATTCTTGGTATAAGCATCTTTGTTGTGAACATGATCGCAACATGAGCAGTTATACTTGGCAAACAATATAATCCATATATCAAATTAAGGTAATGCTTAGCTTTATAATCTGGTTCGATATTTTCTTTAAGCAATTTATAATTCTAAGGATTTTTTTTTTAGTGTCATGCTTAATTGTTGGTGTTTAACTGTATGGTAAATTGCTTTTGTTGCCTATGTTACCAATTGTTTTTAAGATGGAAAGTAGATAAATACGTATAAATAATCATTTTGCATGCTTTTGGAATAAATACATTTCTTATATCAGTTTGAAGGCTGATAGATAAGTATTCCTTAGGCATCGTCTGCTAATAACTTCTGCTGTGGAAGAGCCAATTTAGAAGATTTAGAAAAAAAGGAAGGAAGATTGTACTCATGTCTGTGCAACACAGTACCAATATTTTCTGCCACTTAATGACAGTCCATAGCTTATATTTTGGTGTTTTCATGCACCTTCAGTCAACAACCCAGGAAGCCTCTGTATGCTAAACAACATTGAAGTAACTTTGAATATTAATATGGCTTAAACCCAGCTTAATAACATAGTTCCTTTTGAAGATTTTAATGACACTTTATTTAATGAATCTATATTCAGGAAAAATGGTCAGAAGTTAAAAAAATAAAATAGATAATTAATTAAAATTCAATTAAAATAAGTCCTGTGGGCTTTCATTTGTGTATCTAGCACTCAATTGGAGTTAATTATTCTATGGGAACATTTTGCTTCATTGTGCGATTGAGTACATTTGATAATTAGTAAATGTTTTCCATTTTTTCATTGAAATTTCAATGTTGAAAAATGTATGATAGCCCTTTGCTTAGCTAATAAAGTTTGGAACTCTCATTATCTACCAGTTTATCTTTTGAGTATAGAGCATGTTAAGATTTGTAAAAGAGAACTCACCCACTAATCTCATCTCCAGTATTGCACACACAGTAGTTTTTAAAGAAGACATTTTATGAGAAATGCCAGAATATTAGCATTGTTTGTGTTCCATCAATATGGAAAGGCATAACTGAGCAAGTCTTTTCCTTTTTTTGCAGACTCTGTCTTAAAGAAAGTACCGAAAAAATGTGGTGAACAAAAGCTCGTTGCATTTTCAGGGGGGAAACTTGTGGTAAGCAATTTTCTTTTTACAATAAGGGTGCTTACAGTTAATTAGCAATAGCCTTTAGAGTTATATACAATTTCATAGTATTTTACAGCCCTCTCTAAGCAGTTTACAGAGTCAGCCTGTTGCCCCCAACAATATGGATCCTCATTTTACTGACTTCGGATGGATAGAAAGAAGGCTGAATCAACCTTGAATCAGTCAGGATCCAATTCCTGGCAGCGAGCAGTGAGTTGGCCTGCAATACTGCATTCTTACCACTACACTATCATGACTCTATTTTCAAAACTATTTTTTCAACCATTTTTAATTTAATTTGGTATATTGAAAACTATAATTTTACAAAGTTAGCCATTAATAGCAATATTTTCCTCTTTTTAATTTCTTTTAATTCTGAAAGAAATCTAGCAGAGCCTTCAGGCCAGGAATGCACTGGATAATTTAATTTGTCAAACCAGTTTCTACGTACTGTGCTATGGCTTTTATAAAATACTTGGGGCTAAAATCTAAGGCAGGAATATAATAAAGTCTTGCTTCAAAAAAAGCAAATCGATTATATCACCATGAAACACCAGTTGGGAGTTAAGACTAGTGATTTTTGATTCTGTAAAAAAAGTATAATGAAATGGTTTTATTTGGAAAACTTGGCACTGACAGGCCATGACTATTTTTTGTTCTAGTTTTTTTTTAATTAGTTTGATTCTTTTAATATTTTTTCTTTGTTTTTGCTAGTCTGGATTTTGATTTAAAGTATCTTGTTAATCCAGGTAGGATTTGTGTTTATTTTTGTCCAGTAGTTTTCAAGTGTACTCACTGAAGAAATTTTTAAGTTGAAAATGTGGGTGCACTTTAGATTTTCAAGTGGTATTTTAAAAAGCATCATTTGAAATGAAAACAGGCTCCAAGACAGGGTATTTAGTGAAGCATGTTATTTACTGAAATATAGTGTATGCTAAGGAAGTAATCTGTTGGGGATTTATATAGTGAACAGGGGGCAAGATGAATTAAATTCACCTTTTCACCTCCATGATGTTATCCATTGCCACCTCATCCAAAATCAGCAACAAATGCTTTTATAGGAGTCACACTTTTGAATCTCTTGCTGCAGATTTGAACCTGACAGAAAGTAAATGAAAATCTGCTATTTTTATCTGTTCTCAATTCATTTTTTCATATGCCAGTCAAAAGTATATATTTGAAAACTACATGTGATTTCATCTAGCTTTATTTCTGTAAGCTGTGATCATAGGAACACTTATTTTATTTTTACATAAATGGGTTTTATACCTCAAGCTAAGATAGACAATTGCCACAATAAGTTTACACTGTTCTGCAATATGCTTTATGTGAATGCTACCGATATTGAAAGATTAAGCGCAGGATACACCCATGTTGCTGAAACTTATCATTTCCTTAAATGCAGGATATATTTGAATATTTTTTATGCATTGTTGAATATTCAGACCTGCTAATAAGTTTGGAATTTATGGGAAATATATACATTTTGTGATAAATGTATTCCTATCCCACTGCCTTCCTGTTTCTTTTTTCTTTATTTCCTTTTATTCCCTATGTAATCTTTTACAGAATTCATGTACTTGTGGGGGGAGGGGGAGAGGAATTTTAGTAGAACTGGTTATCAATCAGTTTGCTAACTTAAAATGAAACTAGCATATAGACTATTCAATTAAATGGTCTTGAATAATCCCATAATAGTAATCCATTTTCACGCACATTCCTTGAAATTTATCATTTGCTTATTTATTTACACTACATTGATTTAATATAGTGGGCAGGGAGTACATTAAATCCAAAGATCCTGTCTTTCTATTTTCCTCTCCAAATGGTTAATTTCAGCAGGGGTCTCCAACCTTGGCAACTTTAAGACTGGAGGACTTCAATTCCCAGAATTTCCCAGCCAGCAAAGCTGGGGTTAGGGTTAGGGTTAGGGTTAGGCTGGGGAATTCAGGGAGTTGAAATCCTCCAGGCTTAAAGTTGCCAAGGTTGGAGATCCCTGAACTACAGAAATGCTCTTTCTTAGAGCAAGAAAAACTCTGAGGAAGACAGTCCACTAAGCACCATAATAAAGACTGTTGAGGGTCCCTGTTTTATCTACACTAGTTGCTTAGTGAGCAAGGAAGGGTTGAGACTGGAGGAGTCTATGGAAAATGATTTGCCATTGCAGCCCATAGACCATATCTCAATGTTTCATCCACTTAGTCAGTGGCTCTTGCCAGCCACTGCTCTGGCATATCACCTGTCCAATCTTTCTGTTTCCTTCCCAGTCTTGACTTGGTGTCACTCCTTCAGTTCACTCTCTTGCTTGATCTTCCCTTCTTCACTTGGATCTCAACAGAAATATATAATGGCACTTTTTAATGAGAATCTGTCCATTTGACTTGTTTGTCAAACATACGGCATTTGTCGTTTTGAAGAATTTCAAGAGAGGAAAGCCTCTCACCCTATTCAGAACTCAGTGGAAACACAACTCTTATAAACGACTATAGCAAAAGTGTCAGTGCACTTCCTCTTTGCTTTTTTATCTTCAGACTTCCCAAGGAGACTTTCTGTGGGAAGCAAATTCCCAGCTCACATACTCAAGAAGAGAATCTCCTGGAATGTTGAGCAAGGCTTCCTCTCACCCAATGACTCGCTCTCGCTCTCGCTTGCTCAGGCATTTCAATAGAAAAGAAAGAGAACTAAAGGAGAGAAGCAAGTAGAGGCTGCATTTGATGTAGAAATGGTTACTGCGAACTCTTGAGGTTGATTTATCAAAGCAGTTCATTTTCCTAAATCCATAAAATACGCTCAGGAAATACAATCACATCACCTACCCAGTCATTCTTGCATTTTGGGTAATTGAAATAAGTCTTGTAGCTTCAGACATAGCAGCAAATACCCCTTTCCTTGATAAACTGAGCAGATTCATCAAGAATACAGGCCAACATTACTATAGTTTGTTCCAGGCCATATCAAAAACTTTAAAGGAACTACTGATAGATCTCTAGTAGCTTCCTTGGTTTAGAAACAGGAATGACTTCCCCGGTGATTACATTATTTTAAAGGTGATTCATGAAGTGAATGCTTTAGCAATCAAAGTAGTAAATCGTTGACAGGCTGTAAATTTCCTAGACATATACAAATGAGTCCAGTACTCTAAATTTGATATTTACTATGAATTTGATCTTTACTATGTCACCATTATGTGGTAGTTCTGAAAGAAACCTCTCATTATATGCCTCACATATGCATGGGGAAGATTTTGGAGGATGCTGTAATAGACAGAGTCTCATATTGTATTTCTTTCGGCAGCATGGGTCTTGGAAATTGAACCCTAGATCCACAGACTATAAGCCAGCAAATTCCATGAATTAATTACCCTGATCCCTGTGGAAAAAGACTTACCTGAATATCTACATGATGTAAGAGTCTTTAGCTTTCCTGTGACTCCTGTAACAAACTCTCATTTTGTAGCAAGCGCAAATGGAAAAGTGTGAAGTCATCATGATAGTTTCCAGTTGACCCAGAAAACCTTGATAATTGAAGCAGCTCTGACCATAAAGTTCCCCATGGGTTCTTCCCATCAGTCCTGACCTCTCTAGACAGGGAGGCCAATTTTATCCAGACCCAAGTTGGCTGTAGATGCCTCCCTGGAGGGTGGGCATGGCAAACCTCAACTTCTTTTTGCATTAATACTACCATGCAGGGCAACTTATTTTCTTTATTCTTGTTTCTGAGGCATTACACTTTTAACAGCTTCACCCAAAGCTTGCTTCACTTGATGTAGTGGATAGTAAGAATAACCTTGAGGAACAGGAAGAAGATCTGTAACCATAACCAAGACAATAGTCAGAAAAAAGACAGAGGCAGAAATGTATTAGTGTTGATAACTTAGATTGCTTAATCTGATGTGCTCAAAAGGCTGATAGTTGACAAGCCCTACAACAAATAATGACTCATTTGCAAGCTTCCCTAGTGAGTAGTTTGCATTTTGTTGGTGATGCACTGCTCACTACCAACATGGAGGATGCCTTACAACAGGGCTGTCAAGCTTGCAGGCCGCAGGTGGGATGCAACATGCGCTGGCCATGCCCACGCCCGATTTAGTGAAAGGGGAAAAGGTCATGTGATGCCGTTTTGACACCCCTGCCCTACAATAACAGACTTCTTTTTAAAATGCCGTAAAGGTAAAGGTAAAATGCCATAAAGGTAAAGGTTTCCCCTGTCCATTGTGTCTGACTCTTCTGTAGGGGGCAGTCATCTCTATTTCTTTAGCTGAGGGAGCCAGCATTATCCAAAGACATTTCTGCTGTCATGTAGCCAGCATGATTATATGCCAAGGCGCACAGAACTCTGTTGCCTTCCCATTAAATGGTACCTATTTATCTACTCACATTTGTGTGCTTTCGAACTGCTAGGTAGGCAGGAGCTGGGGCAGGAACAGGAGTCCACTCCATTGTGTGGAACTTGGATCTTGAACCCAGGCTATCAACTTTCCAGTTGACAAGCACAGCAGTGGTAGGATTCAATTTTTTTTTGCTACCGGTTCTGTGGGCGTGGCTTGGTGGGCGTGGCAGGGGAAGGATACTGTAAAATCTCCAGTCAGAGGTGGTATTTGCTGGTTCTCCGGACTACTCAACATTTCCACTACCGGTTCTCCAGAACTGGTCCGAAACTGCTGAATACCACCTCTGAACCACAGCTTCTTTCATTGCTGAGCCAGTAGTCTTGCTTTAAAATTTCTTTTCATACCGCAAATAAAGGATTTATAGATCTTTCCTCCCTTGGTGAATACAAAGCATTGTTATATTAAGGAAAGAATTGCCTCTGAAGTAATTTATCTTTACATCTATTTGTATTAATACTATGAAACTCTTTGTAATTATCCTGGGCACTTAAATGGCTGAGCGGTTGCTCTACACAATCATGTAGAACTACAAAATAAAAACTTTGGTCCTGCTTACTGGAACAGTAGTAGTTCTATAAGTGCCCATAAGGAATAGGAA